AATTCAAATTTAGCTGCCAAGTATGTCAAAGTTTTACGTGCGACCACGTGAAAGTTTTCATGCGAAAGCCACTGATTTAGAAGCCGGAAAACTGGGAGGTGATGTTTGAGAGGATGTTCCCCATCCAAGGTTTCAAATTCTGTTTTCATATGCTGGTACTTCAATTCTTGGTGGAAAATTCGTCAGCGCAGAGGCCAAATCGACTATTTTCTTACACACGAAAATGTAAAGCAGTGAAAATCCTTAGCAGACAAACGTCCGCTGAACGGGATTGCGCAATACGCATGATCGCACCGGCTGCCGTTGTGCGCGCCGCTATTTATTATCCTTGTTACTGCTAAAACTAGTATTTGCGTTTTTGTCATATCATTAATGTCACTATTCTGTTTTATATTTTGACCTCTTTATGCGTTTTTGCATTTGCCTACAAACAAAAACGCATATTGTGACGATCCCGATGTGTGCGAGTGTGTGTGTGTGTGTGTGTGCGTGTGTGTGTGTGTGTGTGTGTGTGCGCTTCTCCGGGTATTTCATCACGGTACCCAAGCAAGCTCCGGCGTCAAAATTTTGCCGAGGAGCTCCCGGTCAAGTGCCACCCCAGGACCACGGTACCAACTCTCACGCGAGTCTGGTCGCCGCGTACGAGGGGGTGGAATTTTTGGCGGGAAAATTGCTAACTCGGGAACCAGAAAAGCTAGAAAACTGAAGTTCTGAGGTTATGTCCGCCGTCTACATAGAACTCAAAGATTTCAAACTCTGCCCCCCAGGTGTGTGTTGTTTCCGCGTATGGCCCGTGAGGTATCCTGGCACGAAAATCGCAAATTCGGGAGCCAGGAAAGCTGACAAGGTGAAATTTTCAGGGTATGTTCCCAGCACAGGGACAACTTAAAATTATCAAATTCAGCCCCTAAGAGTGTGTGGTACTCACGTACGGCCCTGTGAAAATTTTTGGCAGGGAAATTGCTAACTCAAAAACCAGAAAATTTGGAAGGCTGAAATTTTAACGATATGTTCCCCGTCCAAATACCGCTTAGGCAGTTAACTTCTCGGATTTGGAGGACCAGTATATCACACATTTCTAGCTACTGGTTTTTCGAGCGATCTCACTGCAGCACGAAATATTGCAAAAACGCATGATCGCCCGGTGCGCGCCGCCAATGATTTTTACTGTCGTTACCATTGTTATTGTTTTTATTATTGTTATTTTTTTGAAATCTTTACTACCTGTATTCTTTCTACACTTTTCATTAGCATATTTGTCTTCTCCAGTCAGC